GACCGAAACGGGGGCCAAATGATAACGTTAAGAGAGTGCGGAGGAGAATAGGTTCTGTGTTTGGGAAGAGGATGGAAGAGGATCAGGATTGATATTAGCGATGCTGAATCTACGTAGGTTCTCGTACACCATCGTTTGTTGTTGGCTTTGTGTTCCTGTTGCGTATGTTCTATTTAAGGCTGCTTATTACGTTCAGCAGCTGCATATAATTTCGAGATGAAACTTCGAATACATTTAGGGCATTATGTCTGCATCTCAGAAACATCGTTGCGAATTTGTTTGCAGTCTGGCATTAGCATAGCCCTACTTTTTAGGCGTTCCGTACAATGTACAAAAGAACAGTTTATGTGGAGATCATTATGTATGGCATAGTATCAGAGCTTGTGCCTTTGGACTGATTTTCTTCAATTTCGATATGAGTGCCTTAACTATCAGTCGCCAAGGACTTCTTTTTTCAGCCATATGGATCCATAATAAAGCCTAGTGTATCCTGCTGCCTCCTTCATACGGGTTTCTTGCTTGGCTTACTCCTCGCCCTTGAAGATGAATTCAGTATGTTTCTCCGAAAGTACGGTTTAATTTCGCTGAACTTTTCATGGGTTTCGTAAGGTCGGAAATGTACTTGCACAAGAACCACATAAACTGTTGTGCAGATGTTGTCGAGTCTGATATGGGAGACGTGTACGAGAAGTGGGGTGGCAGTTCCGATTTGCAGCAATATTTGTCCATATCAAAGCCTGGTTCACATAAGTCGAATATACTTTCATGTATTCCATGAACTATTTCACAAGCATTGTTCGAATTCGATATGGAAGGCTTCCACCGAAAGTAAAATACCGAATTTCAGCTGTATTGACCTTAGTTTACTTATGCCTATAAATAGAATTTTCCCTGTATCATAAATCCTGCATATTATTTAAATTCTGTATGAGAAACTTTCACTAATTTGCTTTTCTTGTACACATTTTAAGTAAGCTTGCCGGCAGCCCCCAGCCCATCCAGCCTCCTGTGCAGTGAGTACCGGGAGTAACTGCAATTGCAGATGTACAGTTTGGTGTTAATAAAGCCCACTTACATTCGATGGATGTAATGAATACTCAGTAATGACTGAGAATTAGCTTTACACGGTGAGTTCAGCGTTCGAGCATGATATTCAGATTTAAGATGGTATCATATTAGATGGTGTAAATAAACATGAACTTGAGTCCTTGAGGCATTGCGATTTCTATATGGCATTACATAATTAGCAGAGTGCAAACTAATAATCGCCAAAGGTATTGGAATAAAAGAGAATCGCTGGAATTTCTGTGGGTGTTAGTTGAAGTACTGTGCAGGTAACATATTACACGTTTGAGTGTTGGTGATACTTTGAGGTTTTAAATTCTGGACTTAGGGTTAGAGATGTTTCCCGTTTTGAATGCATTTAAAGTTGCCTCTACGTGATAGCGACAACGGTACTTATATGCTGTGACCCGTGACCTATATATAAGCCTTCAGCTCATGGTTTGCGTATCAACATTTCTCAAAATAACTTTACGTTCCTCTGCCTCTTTGTCTGTTCGTCTTTTACCAGTACGCGGTTCAAAATGTATGCGAAACGTCTGTACCTTTCAGAAGACATTTTCAATGCGGATATAAGTTGGTGGAACAAATAGTTGTGTTATATTTGATTAAGATTTTATCTTTCGGATAGTAATTTAGTAAGCTGGTGTTTGGTGTGGCATGCCCGTATATTAATTGCCGTTGTATGAAATAGAAATTGGTATATGGTATAAACTTAGTTTGAAATGGTAACACTTCCGATGTGTTTGTTGAGCGTGGACTGTGCGATATTTCAATAAATTGAAATGTTTTAATCACATTGATCATATTATTATAGATGCGTTTGGGTGTAATTAGAAGTCTTCATTTCATTCTTCAGTAGCTGGAATGAATACATGCATGCATGCATAAGGGGTGGATCATAATAATCCGGCCCTAGCGCTGTGACCATAAATGATCTAATATGCTTCCCATTTGGATTAACCCTTTATCAATCCTACACTTGGAACGAAATGTAGGACTTTGTTTATGGGGGCGTCATAGTAGTCATTTGGTTCCATAAAAAACTGGCTCAGGTAACGAAATCATACATAAGCTATGGCCTCATAATAACATAGGATATATGTGGCTGATTCATCTTTTTCTAGGTATCTTTCGCAAGTAGGGTCATATGACAATCCCAGTCTGAAAAGGTGTCCCTTTAGGTGACAATGTCCTGTAAATAGTCCTATCACCCATCTTAATTGGTCTCTCCTTAATTTTAACAGTTCCTTCGTTCTTCTGGCAGAGGGCCCTAGTTTGAATCCAGTTACGGATTCCCAATGCTTTTTTTTATGATTTCTGTTCGTCAATTCCCTGTCCACTTTCTTGGCAGCTCCAATTGAGATGCCGCAAGCTGGTTCAGGTCCTGTGAAAAGATGCTCAGTTTCCGTTCTTACCAGTAGATCTGCTGTTTCCTTACCAACAGTACCCTCATCACCTGGCACCCATGTCAGTTGAACTCTGTTATGTTTGGCCAGTTGTATGAGAAATTGATGGCAGTTCCAGACCAGTTTTGAGGTGATCTTGTGTTTGCCAAGTGCTTTGATTTGCAGCTTGACTGATAGGATGTAGATGTTTCTATTTTTATAGTTCCTGTCTAGATTCTCAACTGCGCATGCCTTAATGGTATACACTTATGCCTGGAATGCTGTAGTGTACTACCCAAGGCTAAAACTAAGTTTTCTCCCTGTGCCATGGCTATACACCCCAGCTCCAGTGCCTTTATTTGTCTTGTAATCTGTGTACCAGATTAGTTCTCCCCTTTCTGTTAGGCTGAAACCCCTCTTTCCGTTCACTTCTGTCAGGGAATCTGATCATGAAGGGTTTATCATAGACATGTCTCGGTATCATTTTATCAGGCCTCATATGTAGGATGGGATCTTTTTTTCATGTCCTGAGTTATGTATACATGTCCAGATTTGGGTTTCCATTGATCATTGTAACATAGTCTGTAATTTCCTAACTTGGCCTCCGCTTCCACCTGTAGGTGTACTGGGTGGAGCCCAAGGAGGACGTCAGTTGGAGCTCTTGGTGGTGTTCTTGTTGCTTCCGTAATACCCAAGCAGGCCATCCTTTGCAGTTTGCTAAGTTCTGCCTGCCTTGTTTTGAGTGTAACTGTGGGCCACAATGCAGTGGCTTTCAGTAGCTTATTATTATACGTATTTTAATCATAGGTATCATGAACACTACGTAATTATCCTTTAATATTTCTGTTAAATAATTTTAGAATCCATAACCATTTAAAATGATTTATGTTTCGAGTGCATTGTAATAGTTAAAATCGATTTGTCTGTGAAATATTTATATAAAAGTATAATGCAGTGCTTGTGACGCCTTCATAGACATTATTGCATCATCACTTCGAACATATTTGTTCATAAAATAATTGTACCATGTATATCGTGTTACAGCACAGTAAGTAAATTATAAATATGAATTTACATTTGGTATTATTATTTATAAACAAGTATGCCATATAGGCTACATTATAGTATACAACACGTAAATTTTAAATACGGATATGGTGTTTGGCTTAATTGTTTCGTGAATAAATATGTTTTAGGTATTCATTAACCTTTACTGTACTATAAGTAACATAATTATGTATGATGCAACTTGTATGAGTAAATATACTGTCACATGTTTGGAATAGGCACATCAATGGTAACGCAATAACAGTGAGCCGTCGCGTAGACAATGCCGAAACAACGAACGCGCGTCCCCGGAGATGAACAACAGAAGGCGTTGAGTAACAACGGATGAGACGAAACTCGTTACCACTGTATAAGGAGCGTTCCCGAAGCAACGGATTGCCGAACACGTGAGATCGAACCTTGGCGAGGGGTGTCCTTTACTGAGTCCGCTGAACACTTACATAAGCCGAGAGCTACAGACTGCAATACAGCAGAGTATTGCCCTGTGTGGAGGCGGGGTTGAATACCTCCACCACGACCCTGCGAGTCGTAAGAGGCGACGAAAAGGGAAGTCTCAATTCTGAGACAGTAAAGTATGGTCACAAGTCTCAAGGGACTCGGACCCAAGAAAGACTACGCTGGCAAGGGCCAGCAGCATATACAAAATACAGAGCCGTCCTCTCGTCAGAGAGGGCGCTACACAAAATCAAGACCGTAACTGTCAAACAGTAATAAATATCTGGTCATGAGCCCCCAGATGGGGCTCGGAAACAAGACTTACTGACTGAGCGACCGTCAGTCGCAATGTGACTTTGACTTTGACTTTGACAGCAATAACGTACAGTTGGAACCTAGTCGCCATACGATACAGACAGAAGACAGTTGAGATCTAGCCACGGCCAAGGATAGTTGAGACGTCGCATTGAATTATTAGGCCAGAAGTCAAGTGACACTACAAGTGATAACATTTGTACGGTGTATAAGTGTGAGTGTCCAATAAAGATTCGCTAAATCCGAGACCCACGTAAAGTTATTTGTCGCGTGACATACCCAACACGTGATAATACTACATAGATATGTCGCACGTATTGTGTTGTGTTTCATTACATATTTTACCAAGAAATGGGTTTCAAGGACACCGATGTAAACGTTAACCTATAATATTTAATTGCATATATTACAACCGCCGACACAACAAATAATATGAGAATATCTTCAATAAAGACAATAGGTGTTGGTATATGTCTTACGTGTTTAATATAAACGTAACTGTGCTACATGTTTCGACCATATAATTAGTTCATCATCAGGCACCTTTACGCTTTACCAAATAAGCGAAAAAGGGTGCAGTGGGCGGGACATGCACACAAAATTGTTGTTGGATAATCTAAAGGGAAGTGGCAGGAGAAGCGTTTAGGCGTAGAAGCGGGTGTAATTTTAAGATGGAGTTTTTATTTGTAGTTTGTTATAGTTAATTAACCATTGTGTATTTCTTGTTTTTAGGTAGTAGGGGGCCACTATGCCAGAAGAAACCAAGGTGCCCGCTGTTGTAGACTCTGAAGGGGTTGAGAATGGCCCTGCGAGTTCTCCATCGCCCTCAAAGAAGAAGACGCCAGTTAGCAAAGGGAAGTTGGTCCATGCCAGAGTGGCCCTGCTAGACGGTTCTCTTCTTGATGTTAACATTGAGGTAGGGTGGTTTACGTATCTCACTTGTATTGTGTAATTGGTGGGGTGAGATATTTTGGATATATTTTTTTACTTTATGTCTTCTTTGCATGAAGTACGCAGGGCGAATATGCAGTACATGGGATGGCCTTCTTCACCGTTTCACATTTTATAACTCCGAAGATATCAAAACGGATTTCGATTAAATATATTAATGGAAGGTTCAAAACTGAAGATTGTCGAGTGTATTCAATTTTATTTCTTTTTTAAGTCAAACATAACCTCAGGAAATTCAGTGCCTTTTATGAGACACGAAAGTTCAGTACTTTTTTTTTTACAAGAGCCTGCGTAGTGACCAAAGCAAGAACCAGATGGACCTGTTCCATATCGCCACACACACTATTTACCCATGACTAATTTTAGTATTAACTCTCCCGAGGGATCTCTACCCTGGGTCTAAGTTTCTCACGCCCACACAAAACTTCGTTAAACATTACGTATGCTGTACATATGTATATTAATCTGACATTATCGAACTCCAAAATAAACGGCTCAACGTATAACAGTATCACATGCATGGCTGAGGCAAGAAAGCAGTTGTAGTGCATCCTAGTGAGGCTGGTTGAATGCGGTGTTCATCATCATCATCATCATTGCTGACAGGCTATTCGTCCCGGCATTCTATAATATCCAGCTGTATTGAATTAGTGATTATTTTTCTATCCCAGTTTGACCACATTGCGTCTCATTAGGCAAGGTACGGGTTCTGTCTTCTTCGTCAGCCTTTATGCTTGGCATTTCGATGGGTTGGAGTGCTGAGGAATCGGGGTTCTATTCCCGCGAGGAACAAGAGGTATCTCTCTTATCCACAGGATGCAGAACAGTTCATGGGCATACCCAGCCTCCTAGCCAGTGGGTACCGGGGTAAAGCGGCCGGGGCATGAAACTGACTACTTACCTACATCTTACCTACTTAGAATGCATACAGCCGTACCTACATTGCCCATACGTCTTCATAGCGTGGTGCTTAATTGAGCACAGGAACAACTTTATATATACTATCTCGTCGTTTTAGCGCAAAGATGAAAATTGAGAAGCGTGTTGTCTCCCGGGATGACGTAAACATAGCCAAAATCAGATGGTTGCTGTGCTCCCATAAGGCGTTCATTTTAGACTGGTATAGCATAGACGGAGTGATGCAGGCAGGAAGAAAAAAGACAAAAATATTTTGTACATATTGTCGCTGATAGGTGAAGGTGTAACAAATTGAATGGTATTAGATAGGGTTTGATGTTTGATTGCAGTTTTAATGAGCCTCTAAGAAAGATGAGTGGTTTGTTTACAAATTACCGAATTTGCAGCATCTGGTTTTACGCATTTAAATGATCCGCACCGTCGAATATTGGTTTGGGTAATTTCATGCAGAGAACATAAGTGTCTCTTTACCTGGGCATGAAGTGATTGGAGCGTGAAGTTGACGTGTCACCTCCAAGGATATGCGTGTAGAAGTACTGCGGTTAAGGATTTGTGGAACTTTACTTTGTTGTGTGGCGTTTAAAATGTTTACTTACTTTTTAGATTTAAGATAATTTCTTAGGGTATGTTGAGAGTCAGTCCTTTCGGTACGTCGGCCACTATTTGACCCATTGTAACAGCCCATGATGATAGATGAGGATGGATGTGGAACAGTTGGTGGAATGAGAATTGGCAGGGAAACTGAAGTACCCAGAAAAACTACGTCACTGCAACTTTGTCCACCACAAATCTCACGTGACCTGGCCTGGGATGGAACCCGGGCCCCCTCGGTGGGAGGCCGGGGATTAGCTACCTGAGCTGTGGCATTTAATATGTTAACTGGCTTACTTGTTAGATACTGTAACCGTCAGTGGATTCCCTTCTGCTACTCCCGAAAGCCTGTCCCATCATTTTCACATGATTAGAGCACTTCACGCATCCTTTGCAATTCGAAATAATTTTTTTAGCCTGCTTTTTGATTTGCTGTTAATAAAGTAATTGAAGAAAACATTCTTCTGGGATGTCGCGCCGTGTAGATATTATGTTAACCGACTTTTTGGAGGAACGTATCGCCTCCATCTTGTCGACATTAGTCTGTGAGCACCTGCTCACGCTGGTTCCTCCCTCGCGGCTTTTTTCTTTTTTTTTTCTTCTACCTTGAAGATGGAGGCGATACGTTCCTCCGAAACGTCGGTTAACACAATATCTACACGGCGCCACATCCCAGAAAAATGCTTTCTTCATAGTCACCGCCGTGAAAGCCTCAGTTCTTACAATAAAGTAATTATTTGAATGGGACGTCGATTGGACGGCAGTAACGCCATGCTTTTTTGTACAAAATTGTAAATATGGGAGATTCGTACGAAATCATAAATATGAGTGATGTTGGCAGGATGTAAGTGGACGTGATTTGGCATAACGCCAGGCGATCAACTGGTTACCCTGGTGACAGCATTCACCCTCTTATGCGGTAAACGTTGTGGCTCCACATATCACGTGTCTTTCCAAATTCAAGAAGTTTTCGTGGTTAAGTTACGGTCTGAGACCAAATTAAAAAATTGCAAGTGTCCCATGGACAAAGTGTTTTCTCGCTGGTCCATCTCGCCCAGTAACAAAGAAAATATAGTTGAGGATGCGATTATGTCTTGCTATATAGTCTAAATTGTGTATAGTGTAAATAAATATAGAATAAGGTAAAGTTTTATGCCACTTTAATTTATTACCTGTCAAGGCCAAACCGCTGCGCTTGCCTGGAATATTTACTGCGTAACTTTTATCCCATTCCTGTCTTCGGAAACTCTGTGAGTGATATTTGCAGTACCATGCTAGGGCAGATTGTAAAAGAGAGGTTACTGACGCCAGTGACCTCTGCTAGTTGCTCACTCGACTAACAAATTCGCCCTGAGAAACAGCGGTGGACGTTATAATAATTTAAGAAGTTTAAGGTGGTGCTCTATATACTATATTAAGTTGTTTTATGAAGAGAAACATATTTTGAATGGATCCTCGTTGTACATGTACTTTGTTTCCTGTTAGAATTCGCAATATCTGTTGCTCTGTTCTCATATTATCGTTTTAATTACTGGATTATGGGCATTTAAAGCAGTACGAAGAGGAAGCTTATGGAACTGTTTTTGAAAATATCAGAATGCATTCGATATGCATATTGGTGTAAATGGAAACCATGTACTTGTGACGTATTAAGAAGACGTGGAGAGACTGCTGGGAAGTAGCTATAAGGCTTCAAAATTCCCGTTTCTGTACCAGTATGCGATGTTCGTCTGCTGTGAAAGCAAAATGTAGCTTTGTACAATAGTTTGTTATATCGTAAGCAATGCTATAGGTTGCTTTTGAGGCTGTTTAACGCCGCAGTATCGGTTACATATGATTCAGAACGGGTCGAAGTAAGCGGAACTTGAAAGTATTGGGGAACAAGATGTCAGTTGCAAGGTATATGCCATTACTCACCTGCCACTACATAGGAAAATAACTAAACTTTCAGATTAGTCGATGTCACAGCCGAAATTCGAAATGTGTATGTCTTGAATAAAAGCAGGTGTGTTGATGCTGAACAGCCAATACCAGTTTTAGAGCTGCAAGCCTGTGCGCGAGTGTCTGCTTTCCAAGGAATATTGTACGTAATATGAATAGGGATTTAGTAAAGCTCCATAACATAGGGGTCAAGATTATAATCAGGCTTAGCCCCATGAATATTAACCACATGACTTAATTGCTACTGTCACGATTAAGAATTAATCTGTTCTAGGAAGGCAACTGTATCCCGGGCAAAGAATGCGAACTTCTGCTTGTACCTGATAGACGTAAGGAACCTCTCTGATTTTGCGTCTTTAAACCGTACGTATGTGTTACGTATTGAAAGGAGCAGTCGTGCTTTAAAAGCTTTGTCGTTGACAAATTGTCCTAAGCCTAGTGTCTAGGAGGCCGCTGTTGTTTGCTGAAATATTTAGCTAGCACAAGCGAAGAATGGCAACAGCAAGCGACCAGTGTGTGTATATTTTAACCCGTGTTGTGAGACGGGGATTTCCGTGTGTTGCTGATACATCCGTAAATCTTGAGTAGCAAACCTTGTGGAAAAAAAAGACCCGTATGTTCAATGAGATCGTCAGTGTGGCAGTTTTGTTTCCCATCGCATTCTGACATGAAGTCTGAAAGCAGGAATAGTGGAGCCAGAACCAGACGTCCGTTGTTGAGCAACAGCTCGGAAATCATGTTCCCGTTACAAGATATAGCAGCGAACGAGTCGTTACCAGGTAACAAGTTGCTAAAAACAAGATTCTCGAGACAGCCAGCAGTACAGCAGGGGAACTGTGCAGTGTGGCGTGGAAGTTATAAAAGGCAGTGGATTCGTGAATTCAAGAAGTGAGAGAGTAAAATATGGTCGCGAGTTCCAAGGGACTCGGACCCGAGGAAGACTGCTCTGGAAAGGGCCAGCAGCATATACAAACGACAGACCCGCCCTCTCGTCAGAGAGGGCGCCACAGAAAAACAAGTGAGATTCGTCAGACAGACGTCGTTAAGGAGTTCAGTGTGTAACTATAACTGTAAAGAAGTGCCAATAAAGCCAGTCAGTCAGATCTTAGCTCTTGCAGATGGTTTGTGCTGTGTTTGATTTACGTACCCCTTCTTGAAGCTGGCACAGGTGTCTGGAGATAGGGACTAGCTCTGTCGAGCCCAACTGAGTAGGTTTTATCTGAAGACGGAGACAGAATGCAGTCTCCTAAACGTTGTGTTTTGAAAAATAAACAGGGCTGGTTTTAGATAAAGACAAGACGACGGATAATGTCCAAAAACATAATATTTGTTCCAGATCCCATTGTTACTCGTTACGCAAACCAGTTATACGTGACAGTATGTTTAAAAGAGAATCTACTAGTATAACTTTCTAACGATGACATAGCGATCTGCATCACTGTCGGATGATGATGCGCTGTCGAAGGTGTTTTAGACACAGAATAACTTGCAGTGGAAGCAGCGAACAAGCGGCAT